CAGTGCTATCAAACTGACAACCAGGTATCTGTGTGTGCAACAAGCATAATCTACAGCCTCAGAGTGAACATTTTCTACTGCTGGAGACACCATCAGCCAGGAGCAGCTGGTTTGTGTCCAGAGAAAACAGACATGATGTTTCTGAATAAAAACTGTTCAGTGAAAAGGTCCTCAGTGTGTAGCAGTGAACATTAGACACCGACATGTCACTGGTTTGTAACTGGTCTTTTGACCTGGAAATTATTTGTTTGTTTTTATGTAAGAAAACTGCTTGGAATAGAAAAATACCAAAGTTAAAAAATAAAACTCACAATTTGTACTGTAATGAGGAACATAATTTTCTTCTTGTTAGAATTAATAGTAATTACAAAATTGGTACCGAAAAAATAACCGTCCAGGAACCGACACCCAAGTGAAGGTACAGACACTGAATTTTTTAGAAAGGTACCCAGCCCTAGTACTGACTAGCTGAGCTCTCACCTCATGTCCTTTGCCTTTAAACCGGATGTTATCAAACAGTGTGCGCAGAGCAGGAAGTCCTCTTTGTGAAGTCAGTCTGAGGAGGAACAACATCAGTCATCAGAGAGACAGCACTCTATAGCTCCCGACAGAAAGGCAGCCATTTTGGACCAGATTCAGGAAAGCTGAGGAGTTGTTTTCCACAAGTGACTGGTTTGTTGTTGGAACAAAATTACAACTCCTAGCTGTTGCATATGTACGAGCAGGGAATAAAAAAGACTAAATGAATGGTATTTATTCATCTTTAACAACAAGTAAATTTAATCACATCATTGAATGACAGCAATTCAGTCTAGGTGGGAAAATGTTTTCCTGCCTCCAGGCGTCCTGCAGTCACTCTGCTCTAGAATCATTTTGGTCGTCTTGCTTCAGGTGGGGGAATCAACAGAAACTCAGGTGTTCTCCCATACTCTGTTACCACTGAGAGACTCAAAGACCAATTTTCATAAACTCTGGTTTTCACACAACCCACTTCTTAAAATTTCCCCCCCCAAGTTCAACTGTTTATCCCCCCAGCAGAAAATATCCATTAGGTTATGACACATGGAACATGTGGTGTCACCTCTCAGAGTCCAGTCTGGGTTGAGGCCTCTTCACTCCCTTGGGTTTAACAGCAGGAATGTCAGCCAGTTTGGAGAGATCGCCTTGTTCTGCTGTGTCAAACACATCAAAACACAACATCTTAATATCACAATATCACAACATCATAACATCACAACATCTCAACACAACATCTCACCACAACATCATAATATCACAACATCATATTATCACAACATCTCAACACAACATCATAAAATCACAACATCATAATATCACAACATCACAATATCACAACATCATAATATCACAACATCATAATATCACAACATCACAATATCACAACATCATAATATCACAACATCATAATATCACAACATCATAATATCACAACATCATCACAACACAACATCATAATATCACAACATAACATCATAATATCACAACATCTCAACACAACATCATAATATCACAACATCACAACACAACATCATATCACAACACCATAATATCACAACACAACATCATAATATTACAACATCACAACACAACATCATATCATCACAACGCAACATCACAACATAACAACAACACAACATCACAACACAACATCATAATATCATAACACAATATCATAATATCACAACATAACAACACAACATCATAATATCATATCATCATAACAAGACAACATCATAATATCATATCATCATAACAAGACAACATCATAACACAACTTCATTATATCAGAGAGTCAGAGTCAGAGTTTCTTAATTGTCATTCGCACCTCTTGTGGTACATGTGATGGAGCTAAATTATGTACACAGGGTCCCAGTTACATCCAACAATAAAATGTATAAGAAAAACAGTAATAACATCTAAGATATGAACTAAGAAAAACATCAACTAAATATACACTAAGCACTCATAACATAAAACATTGAACATCAGCACAAACATGAACATGAGTCTGTGAGCAGATGAGCACGCATGAACACATCAACATTGAAACTGATCAGCAGCAACATGAAACAGATCAGCAGCAACATGAAACAGATCAGCAGCAACATGAAACAGATCAGCAGCAACATGAAACAGATCAGCAGCAACATGATATGGTTTTTCACAGTGATTATTCTAGTTAGAGATTCATGAGTCTAACAGCCTCAGGGTAGAAGCTGTTCCTCAGTCTAGTGGTTCTACACTTAATGCTCCTTAACCTCCTTCTTGAGGGGAGTGGGGCAAAAAGTGTGTGTGCTGGGTTGGTGGGGTCCTTCATGATGCAGGTGGCCCTCTTCCTGCATCTGGAGGTGTAGATGTCTGTGATGGTGGGGAGACTGATTCCAACAGATTTCTGTGCAGCCTTCACCACTCTCTGCAAAGCTTTTCTTTCTGCAGCTGTGCAGCCTCCATGCCACACATTGATGCTGGAGCACAGGATGCTCTCCACTGCACACCTGTAGAAGGAGGTGAGGACTGAGCTTCCCAGACCAGCTCGCCTCAGCCGTCTGAGGAAGTAGAGTCTCTGATGAGCTTTCTTGATCAGGCTGGTGGTGTTGTTGCTCCAGCTGAGGTTGTCATTCAGGTGTACACCCAAGTACTTGTAGCTGGAGACCACTTCCACCGCAGATCCTCTTATGTTCAGGGGGGTGTAGGTGTTTTTGTTCCTTCTGAAGTCCACAATCATCTCCTTTGTCTTCTTCACATTGATGTGAAGGTTATTCTCT